ACAAAACATCACCAAAAAAAACCCAGGTATACTTCCTCCGTATACAAAAACTTCGTGACTTTTTTTCAACGGTGTTTTTGAGCAAAAACCTGCTCAACGAACCGCGCCAAAGGCTGTCATCGACAACGCACATTCATGTTGAGGTAGGTTTGGTTGATCTCGAACAGATTCTCCACGGAAGCCATGCGTGTGAGGACGTTGCCGACATGGGACTCACGAGTCAAATATCAAAAAACTAACACTTACTTGCTCGAAACTGACACCGTGACGAAGTGGAGCTCGCGCCGGCCTGGAGCACGGAGTCACGACTCACGCGGCACTCGCTGCCCTGAAACTGGCCAGGCTCGTACTTTCGGTGCGCGACCCCATACGCAGCGTGAGAACATAAATCGGTTCCGCTCGCACGGAAAGATGAAACATTTCAGTCGTCGTGCAACCAGCGCAGACTCCGGATCGGAATGTCGACGACCTGGCTTTTTTCGCCTCTCTCCGCTACAGTCAGACGTCTCCGTTGTGGCCTAGGAGGGGAATCGCAGGGACTTCGTCGAAGCCGTTGTAGAATGCTGGGAGGATTCTCCTGCCGAGAAAATGCGAAGCGTGTGGATGTGCTTAAGCGACTCGTTTCACGGCATAATGGAGGTCGCGGGTTGGAACGACTGAATATAGTCGACACCGATTCGTACACAGCTCTGGGAATGAAGAGTACGCTGGCCAAAGTCCCGCGTCGGATCATCATTGCAGCTGAAAAGAATCTGAACGAAATGCGAGCGAAGCAGCGACTTTTGGCGATGCGGAGTCAGCGTCGTCAGGTGACAATGACAGGAGCGACGAAGACTCTGAATAAACTCAATCTCATTCGTCTGAGTTGCTTTTTTCTTTGTATATAGCTTGTAAACAGGTTAGACAATGCCACGAGTGTTATTTCAAGTCAAACGGACCAATTCCAGAGCTATGCGCAGCCTTCAAAAAAAAGTCACGAAGTTTTTGTATACGGAGGAAGTAGAAATAACGCAATACGCGACAACTCTAAATATGGCACAGGTACAAGCAACAAACAGAATGTACATGTGCACTAGGTGCGTGCAGACATGTAATTGCAGGCGCTAGCAACAACAGTAGTAGTAACAGTGCACTAGTTCAAGGGGTGCAAAACCACCACCATCCAGGAAGAGCGAGTATCAGGGCCAGAAATATGTACAAGGCCTCAGGACTCGGAGAAGGCTTCCCTCTGCGCATAGCGAATCCAACAATGCTCCGCTTCCTGAAGCTCTGACACGGTGAGCGGCTGAACGGACACCTTCGGTGAATCCTTGGTTCGCCGATAATGGAGGGAGACCAACGTACCGTCGCATGCTGCTGATTGTGCCGATGTTGAGGACGTAGGAATTTCTCCGAGCGCTGTGTGAATGCCAGTTGCACACCCTGGGGTGTTATGAACTCTTGCCAGTACTGATCCAGACGTATTCATTACTGTTTTCTGATGATCGCTTGGTGCGTGAAACTCAGAGTTAAAACACCTTTCGTCCTCTTATTGTTTGAACTAGCTCCGCCTCTCTCTATGG